ATGCAGTAGGCCGGGAGAGAGCGGAGGGCCTCTAGCTGGTCGACCTTGGAGAGCGGAAAGGCCACAGGGTCCGCGGTGAGAGCCTCAGCCTCCAGTCTGGCCCGGAAGACAGGATCCAGACGGGCCCTGGCAACCCGTCGGCGACCCCGATCCTGCATGATCTGCCAGTCGATCAATCTTATCAAGCTCTGGAACCTGTTCATGGCACTAGGGTGATGAGGGGAATGGGGCAAAACGGCGGGAACAGGGTCGAAATGGAAATGCTCGCTGTCGCTGCTGTCGAGCCACCGCAGAAAAGCACGGGCCCGGGCTGAGGCCATATCGCAAAGCTACCGCGCGGCAAGCCAGGCTCCAGCTGCCAATCCACCTGCTCACGAAATCAGTACAGCCACGACCGTTGCTTCAGTTCTTCCGATGGAGGATGTGGTCGCGAAATAGTTGTGGAAGTTTCCGCAATGAGAATGACTGGGCTGTGAAGGAGAGGCGAGGCTGTTGGGACAAGGCTACGACAAGTAGTACGCTAGGCAATGGGTGACTTGGATCAACGGTTTTTCTCCCGGCTTCAGAGCCGGTCACTGTTCTAACTTACGTATCTAGCAGGACATGGCCGTGAAAGGTAAAGGGCGACTACCAGATCACTGCCGGCCTGAGAGACTGCCCGTCCTCGAACAGCGACACAGGGACACTGGTTTTGCTGTTGGTACCGCTGGGAGTCTGGGACTGTGACCAGAAATACGGGTTAGAAGGGTAAGGTCTGTTGTAAATGCCTGTTGTTCAATCAAGGAGGAGCCACATGTGCATGCCTATATGCTTGAGGCTAAAAGAGAGTAGACAGCTACTAGAAGACAACGTGGGAGGATGGGAGGTTGGTCATGCGATACTTCGTATCTGGGGTGGAACTACTAGTACTAAATGCCTCGAGTGGTTGGCAAGACTTGGATTTAGGTACGGAGTAGGCACTACGAGTTACTACCTCTTTGGTACTAAGGTGCCTTCCAGTCAATGTAGAGAAACGGGAATTCCGAGTAATACTCTTGTAGGTATGCACCACCGGCAAACTCGTGGCGCAGGTGCCAGCCGGTAGCAGCCAGCATGCACCATCTAGACTGGAGTTGCGGACAGCATCCGAACGCAACGACATAACACCTGATGTATCTACCCTTTCAGACTGCACTGCATGATGCCCTGTGTCACCCTCCAAGGACTGCAGGACCAATGAGGATACCGTACATGAATCTGTCTGTCTCTGAGGAGGCTGGGCCACATCTGCCACACCACGCCACAGCCGTCATCTTGTTTTCCCCTCTTTCCCGCTGGGCAGAGGCAGCGGGATGGCAGTCTGGATAGCAGAGTAGGTGCTCAAGTGAAGTAAGGAGGCAAGGTAGGTACTACGTCTTTCTTCTGCTTATATTTATTACTGTCTCTACTTTCTACTGTACACTACCCAGGTACCTTACCCGGCACAGATTACTTCTTCCTTACCCTAGGTATGTTATTGGCCTACTATGAAGTGGCATCTTGTTGCTTGTTGGGAGGTTGGTAGCTGGACTCCTCATCCGACCCCCCCGTGGTCTATTTCGGGCAACAAAGCTAGTGAGCGGTGCTGCTCATTGGCTCTCCTGTCGGATCTGCTATTGCTTGTTGGTTGGAGCTGGTAGGTATGTGCCTAGTCGGGTATAAAATGCCCGGTCTACCGATCCTAGCTGAAGCTTACCTAAGGTAGGTAAGTAAATACCTCTCAAGGTAGACTTTTCAAACTTGTTACCCAATGTTCATATTGTGGTAATAAGTGGCCAGAAAGCAAAAAGTCAGACAGGCTTACATGGAGTTTCAGTTCCCAAATACTCCGTACTCTACTACATAACCGGCTGGGTTCCTACCTGGTAAGGTACTAACATTAGTGGGTCTGGGGTTTAGGCTGTGTCGTACCGGCTATCTCCAGCCCCCGTTAGCTGCTTAACCTGCATTAGCTGCAGACCCGAGCGCCGGCGCCAGCACGCCAGATATCATGTACCGTAGGCCATTGCCATCCAGTGGCATCCACGCCCGCCAAGCTTATCCCAGTCGCACTCCCGCTCATGCTGGCCCCGAAAATTCCCACCCTTCTTCTCTTCTACCCACACCCGCAACCCCTCCATGTTGATCGTTCATGATATTTCCACACCCGTCCTTCCCTTCTGCACCTTCTGCTCAAACCCAAAGGGCCAGGGTGAGGTCAACTCCTTGAGCTCACGGCTTTCCCTTCCCAGCTGCTAGCCTCCCCTCTGGCCTTTCCTTTCTCCTCTTTTTCTCTTCCCTTCTTCCCTTCTCTTCGTCCGAGCCATGTCCACCTTGGGTCCGCCCGGGTCTGGCTCCCACACCCATCCGGGCCTGACCTTTCCTCCAGGTCCACCGGTCAACGGGTTGAGACGCGGATATCCGCCCACCCACGCCTCCACGCCGCCGAAGCATTCTCCAACACCTCAGCAACACCAGTCTCCCTACCAGCCTCAACAGTACACACCGCAACAGCCTCCGGCCGGCTCCTACCCCCATCACCTCTTCCAGAGTACCACGTCGTCTCCTGTACCCAATGTCGCCAGCGTCCCGAGCCTCTCCAATGCCACCACCTCCAGACATGCGCCGGCCCAGGCGGCCCAGGCTGCCCAGCAAGCCCATGCCCAGCAAGCCCACGCCCAGCAAGCCCATGCCCAGCAAGCCCAGGCCGCCGTCCAGGCTGTTCAGCGGCAGCAACATCAACGGAACAGCCAACAACGTCAGATGCCGGCTCAACCAGGCCCTTCTCCCTCTTCAATGGCCTATCTGCAGCAAGCCATGAACCACCCTGTCCAAAGCCATTCCGTCTCGAGCCATCCAGTTTCGAACCACTCCGTCTCGAATCATTCCGTTTCGAATCACCCGGTCCAGAACCACTCAGTCCCGAACCATTCAGTCCAGAACCATGCCGTCTCGAATCACTCTGTCCCGAATCACTCGGCCCAGAACCACTCGGTCCAGAACCACTCGATTCAGAATCACACCATTCAGCAACAACAAGTGCCGCCGCCGGTACAGCAGCTTCCACATGCCCAGTCGTTACAACAGCAACAGCTCCAGCAGCCGCCGCCGCCGCCCTCCCAACAACAAGTACAGCCCAATGATAGCAACTTGATGTCGCACACTCCTCCCCACCATCAGCCACATTCACAGGCACAGCCCCCGGCGCATCCGCTGGCCCACCCCCAGCCTCACCCGCAGGCTCACCAGCAGCCTCCGCCATTGCCGCCGCAGCCGAACCGGCAGCCGCAGACTCGGCCGCCATCCCCGCCGTCTCCGCCTGAGCCTGCCGTTGAGCTGCACGACAGCCACCATGACGATGATATGGAGATCGATAGCCAAGGAGAAGGGGATGACAGCCATCTGGGCCCGAAGCTAATCGATGGGACACCCTTTGTACCTCGGTCACCCATGGGTAACCAAATGTCCGCACCGCCGGAAGGAGGGAGTTTTGCCAGCTTGGAGGCCGTCCACAGATATGTGTTAGAGTACTGTACGTCTGTGGGGTACGCGGTCGTGATCGGGAGGTCGAAGAAAACTGTACCGGGCTTGAAGAAGGTTCTGTTCGTCTGTGATCGTGCCGGGAAGCCCCCCAGCCGTGTCAGTCCGGAGCAGAGGAAACGGAAGACGTCTTCACGCAAGTGCAACTGCCAGTTTGGGTTCTTTGCCATCGAGCAAAGGACACAGTGGACGATTCGTTACCGTCCAGATGCGGGCCACCTTCAACACAACCATGGGCCGAGCGAGAGCCCCCTCTTGCATCCAGCTGCTAGAAAGCTCGACAGCAAGATGGTTGCCGCCGTCAAAAGCCTCAAGGAGTCTGGTACGTATTGTTCACTCTCGCGCCAATCAAAACTGAGCGCTCATGCTGGCACAGGTATCGGTGTCAGCCAAACATTGGAAATTCTGCAGCAGCAACATCCCCACGTGCCTCTGCTGCCCAGAGACATCTACAATGCGCGTGCGGCCATTAATCGCAATCCGCAGAAGGTTGAGGCAGGCATTGCTGAGCAACGCCCAGCCATATACAGCAAGCCTGCACCGACGGCAGAAGAGCGCATCCGTTCGGATCTGAGAAAGGAGCTCCAGGCTACGAAGGACGAGTTGACGAAACTCAAGGAGGACTCTAAAAAAGAGATTGATGAGCTGAATGAGAAGATGCGAGAAAAAGACAAGATTATCGAGAAGTTTGAGATGTTTATCGACATCTGTAACCAGCGCGTAATGGTGCAGAGGGAGAGGTTGAACGATCCGGGCGATGGGGGCACTGGGGCAACAAGCTCCGGCAGTTGAGTGTTAGATTGGGAAGGCATTGCATACTTACTCTTCGAATGTCAAAAAGTGCTACACGGGATTGGAGTTGGTTTCTAGGAAAGAAAGCATAGGCGTCTCTGGGTCTATATAGGGGAACATTATAGTGGCGGCATACGAACGGCATACGAATGGGGTTTTGGGGTTTGCGCTGGGTAATGGATGAGCCAGTATCTACTCGGCCGACGAGGGATACGAGCCTGCGAATGGCGTATTGCCATGACATTTACCTGGACCCTCTTGGGTTTTGTGACTCCAGGGGATAGAAATCCGCAGTCGGGAATATCATGTCGGGATTTACCGTCCTGCTGTGGCTGTTGAAGATCTAAGTGCCTCTACCCGCATCACTTTTATTGTGACTCCGTGGATGTACGTGCTCTTGTCTCTATCAGTCGACAATAGTCAGGGCTGCTCTGTCTTGTGATCAGGGACGGGTTTCTGTGTTGATGTCTAGGGGGGGTAAGGCGGGTTCTATCAGTTCCTTGATCATGCATGCCCTTTTCAAGTTGTTGTTGACAGTCATAGATCACAAAAAGATTCCCCGACCTGAATCCAGGATGTATCTGACTTATCTTTCCGCACATCCCAATCGAGTTCAGCAGCAAAAGAGATAGGATAGATACTGTTGGTGAGACAACAAAAGCTTAGAGAACTCTCCCAAACCTGAGTCGAACAGGTGACCTTTCGGTGGCAACTTCCTTGAGGAATTGAACAATTACAGCCGAACGCTCTAAACCAACTGAGCTATTGGGAGTTTCTGTCTCTAGACCAATCAATAAAAAGTTTCGCTCTTATCAAATGCTAGATACTATTCAGTGGGGTAACCCTGACCAACTCTTAGTCTCAGGTAACTTAAGCCGGTATAAACTAAGGTATATATAATATTAACGCTTTAGTGGCTTAAAAGGCTACTTATTAAGTAAACGAGTTAAATTAAGCTTAAAACGTAATAAAAAGCTGGTATAGGTTAAATTTAACCCACTTTTTCCTTAATCCGGTTAGTTAATAAGGGTTTAAAGGTAAATTTACTATAACTAATAATATAAAAAGCTAAAAAAAGCTTAGTATTAATAAAATTATTATTATTACGGTTATTAACACTCCTTTATTACTTAACCACCCGAAAAGCTAAAACATTACTAAATAGCTTAATCGAAAGCTTATTTAAAAAAGTATTTATAATGCGTATTATAGCGCCGAATAATAACGCGCTTAATACGCTTTAATACGCGCGCGTATATAATGCCCTTAATATACTGCGTTATTTTAACCTTTTTAGCTAAGGTGCCGGCTAAATCCCGGCTATTAAAGTAATCGATTATCTTTAAACGAGCCGGTTTATAATATACCGGGTGCTTAAGGATTAAGCGGATAATAATAACCTCGCGGATCTCGAAATATAGCTTATTATTAACTCCGACCCTAACTCTTATACGCTTAATAATAATAAGCGGTTCCCCTTTAATCCGCGCGGTAAAAGCGGTTATTATCTATAATAATAAGGTTATAAAGTGGTATTTAGCGAAGATAACGCTCGCAATATTAATAATTACTTTAATCACGTTAAAAGAATTAATTAGCGGTATATATAAAAGCTATTACGTATAAGCTAGGTTAATATTACGGAAAAAGCCGGCGTTAATACCTAAGCCAGGAAGCGTACGATTAATTAAAAAATAACCACGCTTTATAATTAGCACTCCCGGCTAAAAGAGATAAAACCTGGCCGCGATAATATTAACGCCGCCCGGGCCCTATTACGAGCAGAATATAAGAAAACCTTAGGCTTTTTTTAGTTACCGGGTTAGCTAATTACGTTCTTTGCGGCCGACGAGTTCCATTTCGGCTTTTTACCAGAAAAGCGCCGCCGATTTTACCGGAAGCCAGGCCACTTAAAAAAGCTATTTATAATACGAGATAAGCTTATTAACGCCCGGCCGATTATCTTCGCTAATAATACCGCTCGAGAAAAGTATTTTAGCCGACCTGTAATATAACCCGACGGCCTTTACCCACTAAAAAAGCTAAGAAAGGGAGGAAAGGTTTAAGAGAAAAAAAAGCCCTAAGAGTAAACTCTAATATATTACGTAGGCATAATAAGCTATAATTATAAGCCTAGACTTTACTAATACGAGGTTTTTTTAAATAATAACGGTAAAATCGATTACCGTATTTATATAATAGTATATAACCGGGTTTTATCTAATATTAAGCGCTTTATAAGCTTAAAGGAGTTTTTATTATAGGAGGATGTAAATAAAACGCATAATAATAAGGCCGTACGGGCCTAATAGGTTAAAAAGAGGTGGAATATCGTTTAAAATACTAATATATGCCCGGAAACTAACCTTATTAAGTTACGAAATATTATTAACGTTATCCAGGAGTAATAAAAAAACCACCCCTACTTTAATATTATATAATTACGGGACTTAGTAAATAAGGCATAAATAACACAGGTAAAATAAGAGAAAATAAATAAGGCTATTATAAATATACCGAACCGGTGGCAGGCCCTAATAAATAGGGATAAATAAAGGATTAACGCGTAAAAGCAAAAAACACTAAAAAAACATTACGATTATTTAGTTTATATATTCTCTTAGCTTTTAATATATTTATTATAACGCAGCGAGTATAATAATATTATTACTAATAATATTATTTTAGCTGCCTCACTTTTATTATAGAATTAGTAAGATATAGGGCGAGTGGGATAATCCCACTTATAGGAGACCCGCCGATGTGTGCCAGCGTTTCCTTACAGGTCGAGTTAGGCAAAGCAGTGTACACAGACAGGTAGGCACTCTAATAACCTCTGACTTGATTAGGTGTATTATCATCTGCTCTTCTGCGCCTTCACGGCTGTTCTTATTTGCCATTTCTGCTGCTATTGTTACATGTAGGTAATATTATTAACCGTGTTCATTCAAAACGATACACGGTATCCTGGAGCCTGGGCTATGCGTCTCAATCTGACTTTCCTACTTTGGGAGGCGGAGAGTGTCTACTACCTACCTGTGCATACGAAGCAGATACGGCAATGATATATTGGAGCGTGAGGTATTTACGAACGACCCGCTTGTGCGCCTGTCCGTATTCCCTCAGTCCCTACGGAACGTTGTACTTTATAATCATCCTTCTCTAGCACTTCCATTACTAGGGTGCGGTTTTAGACATAGAAGTAGGTAGGTACTGTACTTAGCAAAGAGAGAAGCTCTTTTGATATGTATAGCAAAAGTGCCTCCCTCGGTAGGTACTCCGCCGGGCCTAGTGGGTACAAATGTTGGGAGGAAAACACTGGAGCTGGAAGCTTAGTGCGATAAGCTCCAGTATACGAGGTACGGGGTAAAGCTTTCGAGATGCAATATAAAGACAAGGTCATCTATCAACTACTGCCTACTTGTATCTTGACCACACAAGTATAAGAAGATGTTCTCGATCGGTAGCTATCCTGTATTGTATCACCATGCCACGATGCTACTGAATCTAGGATCTGTTTCTTCATCTAAATTCCCCGACGGCCGGATCTATCCCGTTTGCGGAACCTGGACTATGGAGAGCCGGAGATTGTGCGCTGGAACCTCCAGATCTGGGGTAATCTAGCGCTAATTCTATAGTGGCGCCAGGGGCGGTTTTTATCATCCCGCCTGCAAATGACGAGCTCAAGGACCACGAAAGACAAACCGTGTCAGATTGGTGATCCCCGACTTCCCGTGGTGATGACAAACTTGTAGGATCTGTTTCTTCGTCCAGATTCCCCGACGGCCGGATCTCGGTCTCACCGCTGTTGGAATTATATAAGATTCGGTGCCTCCAGAGAATTGTCGTAGGTATCTTGAGATCATCTGAACTGCCTGCGCAGCTCCCCGTGCTCCCCTCCAATCCCCAATTCCAACCCTCCACCCCTCATCCCCTCACCCCTCGTCGCGGCAGAGATCGCGGCACCCCCACCACAGATCTACACAAGGGCTGCCCAAGATTGACAGGGTGACGAGGTGACAGTGACACAGCACCAGCCAGCCAGCCAGCCCGCTCGCTACCCTACCTAAAGTACCTATCACGCCGGGACAAAAGATCAGAAGTACCTCGCACGCTGCGGCCATGACCGTGCCGGCGGACCACTCGATCGAGACGCCGCCGCGGGCGCCGTCGCCCACGCATGGCTTCGGCACGCTGGCGGTGCACGCGGGCGCGCCGCACGACCCGACGACGGGGGCGGTCATCGAGCCCATCTCGCTGTCGACGACGTTCGCGCAGACGGCGGTGGGGCGGCCGGTGGGCGCGTACGAGTACTCGCGCAGCGCGAACCCGAACCGCGACAACTTCGAGCGCGCGGTGGCGGCGCTCGAGCACGCGCGGCACGCGCTCGCCTTCGGCAGCGGCAGCGCCGCCACGGCCACCGTGCTGCAGAGCCTGGCGGCGGGTTCGCACGTCATCAGCGTCAGCGACGTCTACGGCGGCACGCACCGCTACTTCACGCGCGTGGCCAAGGCGCACGGCGTGCACGTCACCTTCACGCCGCAGATCGAGGTCGACGTGGTGGCGCACATGCGCGACGCGACGCGGCTGATCTGGATCGAGTCGCCGTCGAACCCGACGCTGCGGCTGGTCGACATCCGCGCCGTGGCGACGGCGGCGCACGCGCGCGGCGTCGCCGTCGTCGTGGACAACACCTTCCTCAGCCCGTACGTGCAGAACCCGCTGGACCACGGCGCCGACCTGGTCGTGCACAGCGTCACCAAGTACATCAACGGCCACAGCGACGTGGTCATGGGCTTGGCCGCGTGCAACTCGGACGAGCTGCGCGAGCGCCTGTCGTTCCTGCAGAACGCCGGCGGCGCCGTGCCCTCGGCCTTCGACTGCTGGCTGGCCCACCGCGGCGTCAAGACGCTGCACCTGCGCGTGCGCCAGTCCAGCGCCAACGCGACGGCCGTCGCCCGCGCGCTCGAGGCGAGCCCCCACGTCCTCGCCGTCAACTACCCGGGCCTGGACTCGCACCCGCAGCGCGAGCTCGCGCGGCGCCAGCACCGCGACGGCATGGGCGGCGGCATGGTCTCGTTCCGCATCCGCGGCGGCCGCGCCGCGGCCGAGCGCTTCTGCCAGCTCACCCGCATCTACACGCTCGCCGAGAGCCTGGGCGGCATCGAGAGCCTGGTCGAGCTGCCGAGCGCCATGACCCACGCCGGCATACCGCGGGACCAGCGGGAGGCCGTCGGCGTCTTTGACGACCTGGTCCGCCTGAGCAGCGGCATCGAAGAGGCCGAGGACCTGGTGCGGGACGTGCAGCAGGCGCTCGAGAAGGCCGTCCTGGCAGACTCGGCGGCGAACGGTGCGAAGGAGCCAAATGGGCATTAGCAAGCATAGAGCATAGAGTCTCATAGAGTACTTCAACCTAACCTAGACGAGGCATTCTCGAAAGTGGCATTGGCGTTTGGACATTGGAAATTGTACCTGTTAGCGGTAGGCAACGTCAAGATGCCGATAGGTACTTCAGCATACCTCATCTCGAACTCACTGCCAAACAACTAACGTACTTCTCTCTGTTACATCGCCCAGCACCTGGGGTTTTCTTTTCCTTTTCCTTTCCCTCAGCATGTGTGCTGTGCAGTAGACACGCTCGTATAGGAATTAGGATGAATGCTGGAGACAGGCATGACTACTACGGTAGTACTCTGCTAGCTACCGTAAAGGCAGGAATAAAATTGGTGATTCCCAAGAATGGCTGAATGGAGGTGGAACAAGGAGTACGAA